TCGAAATACCCGCCAGACACTAAACAACGGCCCCGACTGGTGATACTGCGGCTCCTGCTGGGAGTCAGTCCCCAGACATCGCAGGTTGAATAGATTAGGAACAAGCTTTTCACCAGTGGAGCCGGCCGAGGAAAGAAGGCTGTGTCCTTATTTATAGTTACTGTTTGTGCTTAATTCATAACTTTTTCCTAAAATTGGACCAATCTCTTTGACCCATCACGCCTCGTATGCTCTCGGGTTGAAGTCTGGAATAATACCACTTTGGATTGTGCTTTCGGCTAGACGGCTAGCAAGCCTTGGAACCATCCAAACTTGGCTACAGCTAAGCCTCTCTAGTGTGTTGACGGTGCGATACACGTGGGTCAAATTGAGTACCTCTTACACTTGGATGCATCAATAAGCCTCAGCTGACGCGGCCACTTGCCTTCTGAGCGCCACTAGTCAACCCTGAACTCGACGACTCACAGTGGAATTTTCCGAGAAGCTCTTATAGCCTCAAAGTTCTTGGGTGCATACCAATTAGAAATCCAATCGTATGGTCCAACCAGTGGCAATGGGGTGACTTTTCCGCGCATTCCAAACCCACCGCAATGCAGGTATGCTACGATTCGTAGGTATGTAAATGTTTCAGCAACACAGATAAGACACCTAACCCGAAGCCTGCCATGCATTACAGATAAGATTGAATGCTTCGAAGTTTACATATGAAGAGTGAGAATTTGCTGCGATTTTCCCGCCTCTGCTTCCTACCTGCCACTCATCATGCGAAGGCCGGCGCGCTTTCAACTGTACATTTGTTTATTATTTCTCATTATATCGATACCCTTGGCGAGCCACCTTAGAGATCTTTGCGACCAGTATCGTGCACAGGAGTACATAGTTGATTGGTTCAGTCTTGAGCGGACCAGCCAAGTGACAATATCTTCTCCAGGTCAGACTGGCAACAAGGTGATCGTGGCTGCGAAGCTGCAGGATGAGCAGACAGAATGGATTGAACAAGAACTACCCGAGTAGGCAATTTGACATTTCCTAACAGCTACAAACTGTTCACTAATCTTATGAAGCTGGCAGCGAGCTATCTACATCGTCAACCCATCACCAGAAGTTGCAGCTGACAGCCGACAACTTACAACGCCCCTTAACAAGGGCCATGAATCCATGGCTTACCTAACATACCTTATAGATAACTATGAGAGGCTCCCTTCTACCATTGGATTTATCCATTCCCACCGCTCGGGCTTTCTTCAAGCCTGGCATGTCGATGCACCTTTGCATGATAATGTATGGTCCATGAGAGCCCTACAGCTAGACTTTGTCCAGCAGAATGGCTATGTCAATCTACGATGTAACTTAAATCCCGGGTGCAAGGCCATATACCATCATGTAACACGTGATATCTTCACGGAAATATTCGAAGGCACCAGCACACCGCCACTGAACGGGACTGATCTTGCGCTTGGAAGTGACAAACGCGCCATTCAAATACCTGAGACGGTTGCGACAGCGTGCTGTGCGCAGTTTGCAGTATCTCGGGAGCAGGTTCTTCAGCGACCACGCGAAGACTATATCAAGATACGGCAGTGGATTATCGACACGACGTTGGATGATGCTCACAGTGGGAGGGTTATGGAATATCTTTGGCATATCATCTTCGGCAAAGAATCTGTCTAGTAAGTTTGATGTCTTCTGATATTGGATGATGCTGACCCTGGCTTAGTTGTCCAGATGAAGAAGTCTGTTACTGCCAGGTGTATGGGCTATGTTGACTGACTACGTGCTAAGCATTCTGTGTAACAAGCATCTTGTGAATATGTTATACTGCTCTCTTGCTGTTTCCATTCTTCTCATTAGCGTTCGTTGTATTCCTCGATAAAAATAGTCAACAATTAAGGCCTATTTACTTGGTGCAAAGCACCAAGCAGAGAATCGATTCATAACAACTAGACAGGCCCTAAACCACGGCCCCAAACACCGATGGCAATCATCCTGACACCCCACGCGACCAGGATAGTTACTCTTCCCTCATCTGCCTAATACCCTCGTATTCCCTGTTCTGTACGTCCATCCATCCCGCCAATTACCTTCCTCCTCCCTCCTGCTATCTCATCCATGCACGGCTGCCTAGCATCATCATCATCATCATCATCATCATCATCACTACCACTACCTGCAAGCCACCACCCAATATTTCCCAAAGGGTTCGGAAGTTCGGACGCCCGACTAATTACCACCCCAAAATACCCTAGCCACCCACCTCTTTCTCCTCACTACGCATGGCTTCCTCTGGAATTTGACCGAATGAATCAGATACCTTGGAAATCCCTCATTACTCCCTTCAAAAAAAGTACTTTGTATGTTAGAATGGGACCTGAACTATCCCACGTGCCCCATCCAGACACTCCCATTGCACAGAAAACCGTGGTTTGAATAGATTTTCTCTGGGTCCGGACCCACGGCACAAATTGAGTTATCTACTCGGCAAGATCTGCGGGTGGGTCTTACTACGCCCGTCCCTGAGTTGAGGTGCTCTCGAGACAGATTGCCGTGTTGGTCAGCATTCGCTTGTACTTTGACTTGTTGTGAAGCATTGGCCTGATTGATATGGTGGATTTAGGCGATAGGATGTATACTCATGGTCTTCTGGTAGTGGTGGTTGACTCCAACTCTGATTCTGGCTCCGCGGCATTGTCCACTGTTGTATTGACAAGTGGAATGTACATACAAAAGATAAACTTCCAGATTGAAATACATACCTAAACTAGATCAACCACTCTAGCTACTAGCTAAGCACCTCCCATAACCCCCCGCGAGGCACGCATAGCACCGAGTTCTAGATCCTGATACCCATCTCTACTACCTTCCATATTCCTACTCCCACTTCCAGTACATACTCCGTCTCCAAAACCCGCCCCAAATGCCCCAATCCTCTGTCTAGGCCCCCAAGCCCATCCACCATACCCCTGTCCCGCAGGAGCATGATACCACATGAACCCCAAGATAGCAAACACAATCCCAATCAAACTACCTCCCAAGATATCCCACCCAGCGTGCATGTAGTCCATATACCGCGACGCACAGATATAGAGCGCACCACCAACAGGAACTGCAATGAGTACAAGGAGATACAACGGCGGAGCTGCCACCGCCGACGCCCTACTAAATGACGACTCCGTCTTCTTATCGCCGCCTCCAGCACCAAAAGTCACAGAGCGAACAGGAACAGCCACAGCGAATTTAGCGCCCAACCACAGCGAAAGATACAGCAAACCCGCCCAAGCGAAAGAAGAATGCCCAGACGGAAAAGCAGCAAACCCAGCTTTAATGACACTCGCATCGGGGTTCTTGCAAATAGCCGACGTTACCATAACCGGTGACTGTGTACGCTGAAGACCCAGTCCACCAACAGCGTAGGTAGTGAGGTTGGCTAGATCGAGCTGGCAGCGGGCGAGAAGATCCGGTCGTGGTTTACCCACTACGTCTTTCAGACCGGAGGTGAGGAAGAATGCACCCGCGAGACTCAGGGCTAGGCCTAGCCAGCCGGCGTGCCATTCCCAGAGACGACGGGGCCAGGGGAGGGGGCTGAGGAGGAGACAAATTGCTGCGATGAGGACGGCGGGGACGACGCAGCAGACTATTCCGACGGTTGTGATGGAGACGGTGTCGGATTTGAGGGGGTAGGAGATGTTTGCGTCGTCGAGGGAGAAGACGTGTTCGGAGCCGGTGATTTTGTAGAGGATTCCACCTGTGATTACGAGGATACTGGTGTTGAGTGAGACGTTTTAGTATTGTGACTTTTAGGATGAAGGGAATGTAGGAGGGTTATCGAACATGATGAATGCCCAATCCAACACGTATGAGGCTATCACATGCTTTGAAGTTCGTCTGGGCTCAGTGGACAGCATGTCGAAGTCTGCATCGGCTTGTGGTGTTGATGCCATGGTGGTGACTTTGGAAGTGTATGGAGATGCGGTAGAAATCAATTCCCAGTGATTCTATTACGGCTGTGTCTGCAGTGGGAACCTTCACTTATAACAGTGGGTCATGCCCGGCCGCAGATGTCAAAGAAGCCTATCCATTGTCAGTCCCTTAAATTAGCACGGGATTGTTGGACCCGTTTTTACGATCCAAAGTCTGGATGCCCTGACGGATGCCATAAATAGCCGAGTGGTACAGCCTAGTCCCGACCATAAGAGGCATGATTGTCGTTTTAAACCGTGCAAGCATTGAGCTAAGCATTGTCAAAGTGTACATCTTAAAGCTTCTGCCTAACGTGGCTGGGGGCTATGTAACACAACATTGTAGGAGAGTTTGTAGAAATAAGCTCCGGGAGCGAATCTTAGCGGAACTTTCTGTTACACGCAGTCTAGGATATGAGAATCTTACAGAAAAGCAGGAGTAATATATTGGAGATCCATCTTGTTGTAACCAAATAGTAGTCATTACCCATGGAAATTTGGAGATGTTTATCTCAGCCAGCTCCATAATCTCCAGCACAACCCTCGCAGCCTCCTCCGGTCTGTCTTACATGGCAGAATGCTTGCTCACAATCATACACAATCTCTAGCTTCGACTCCTGGACCCCCTCATCTGCAATTTATAACGCCCCTCGTCCCTCGGTCCAATCTCCTTACAGTGATGTCCTTCCACATCCAACCAGCATCAACGACAGCACAAAAACCCTAAAGCCACCACCATCTTCAACCTGCCGATATCATGCACGATGATAAGCACAACAGTCTTTTGGAAATTAGTCAGAAAATCTACGCTGAGAACGAGAGCGTCGATGAATGTATCTCGAAGTCATTCGGAATACCCGTAGGGGAGAAGGTCGTAGAGGCTTGCTAGTAGTCTGCCTGCGGCTGCGAGGCGCGAGATGGGGTTGCGCTAATAACCTAAAAGGTGACCAAAAAGAGAACCCAAGGTATGTATGTACGCACTCGATTCATATTTACTCGAACCGGACTAAACTGCTGACAAAAGGAATCGGCATAATATTAAGCCAATAATATCCACAGGTATAAACAAAACAGGCTGATATCTCACTCCCAAGAGAGGAAAAGCAACTCCCAAACACCTCTGCCAAGGCCTGGATCATAAAGGCCACCCAGAACAGAAAATCAAAAGGTATCATAGATTAAGAATCACGAACGCGCGCTTGCCGTTTGGCCGTCCCAATATGCGTGTTATGTACCTTGGTCGCAAATTTGAGACTGGTCAACGTTTCCGCCAGATGTGCCTGCAGCGGGCTGACCATGACAAACATGAGAGTCTTGGAGTTACCTCCCAAGGAAAATTGGAGGAGATACGTAAGCTGCATACAAGTCAGTTACTTCGCTACTGAATAATTGAGTCAAATATACGAACCTTGCTGTTCCTGTAGGGAATATGTCCGCCCTCTTTGCCCTGTCCAAGGGCAGCGATAACATCTCCCAGACAGCTCAAGCTGCGGTTAATGTTTTGCGTCTCTTTCAAGCGTTCACCTGTCGCACCACTGTGGCTCAGACGTTCACTACCGGCCAAGTCAACCAAGTTGAGTGTCCCTTCGCTGCGTTCACCAGTAATGTCATTCTCACCGATCAACTTGAGAATGAAGACCGAGTGAGACCGGGATGATCGCTCGTTGGCCTTGGTAGCGGCAACAGAGCGGTTGGAGGCGGCCCGCTTTAGGATTGTCTCGACCATCTCAGGAGACTCCAACCGGACAGTAGTGACATCCGTGATGATCGTCTTCCCTCTTTGCATGTCGTGGCGGATATCCAGCTTCTTCTTGTCCAGTTCTTCAGGGTTACCAAGAAGGTCGTTCAAATTCTCGTTGTACACCTCAACGAAGTTACCCTCCATAGTGTACCGCCAGCCCTTCTCTTCCAGGCCAGTAGCTGTCTCATAGATCTGGTGCACTGCACGAGGAATCATACCGTCGAGCGAAGACATCGTGTAAGTCTTTCCACTACCAGTTTGACCGTAACAGAAAATGCACACGTTGTATCCGTCCAGGGCGCTTTGGACAAGTTGGCTGATCTCATCGAAGACCTCGGCATTCTGCGTCGACGGTCCGAAAACACGATCGAACGAAAAGTTGCTGTTCTTTCTTGTGATTGTACCGAGGCTGCTCTTCTCTTCTGGGCCCAGTACGGCAATCTCCTTGCTGTCCTCTGTCTCGTCGGGATACTGAATCTGAGCCGAGCCAGTGGGAGGGTCGGAAGGCAGTGATGGCCGGACTCGACAAAACACGCGAATGTTGCCTTTGAGTTCTTGCACCTGATTGTGAAGTTTCCTTCTCAGGGTCTCTTCCTTCCGCAGCTTGTCTTTCGTAGCGTTGGTCTCGGCCAGCGCATCCATCATCTGCTGGTTCAAGCGCTCAAAGGCCTGGGATTGCTCCTCCCGTCCAGATTCGAGAAATTCAATCCTTGCCTTGAGTGCGCGGACAGACGACTCCATTGTCACGCTATTGCTACTGGCCGTGTCCAGGTTCTGGCGAAGATCCCGGTTGCTCTTGCGCTCACGTTCAAGTTCCGCCCGTAGAGCTTGCATGTCATTATGAAGCGTCGCGATTTCTCGCTCTTTCCTTTCAAGCTCCATATTTGTCTTTTGCGTGTCAATGGCTGTCTGTGAGGTCATCTGACTGATTTCCCGAAGCCGAGCAGCTCTTTCGTCTTCCATTTCATGATCGAATCGTCGCTTTAGTTCACGGATCTCCTCTTGATGTTGCGAGGCCAATGATTCCAACTCCCTTTTAGCATCGAACCGCGCGGACTCCAGTTCTCTGCGCTGACGAGAGCCAATTTCGTCGAGTTCCATCTCATGCTCTCTCTGCGCATCCTTCAGGGCATCCTCTGATGCTCCTAGTCGGACCTTGAGTGATTCCATCTCAACCCGAAGGGTCAGATTCATGTCGGTGATCTCCTTTCGAGAAGCCTCCAGCTCGCTGACTGTAAAATCCTCAGCTCAATGATTTCCAGCGTGCTTGTCGACAGGTTGCTTACCTCTAGATTTATACAGCTCGAGGGCTTCCTTCATGCCGGTACTCTCCTGTCCAGCTTGGCTCATCTTGGTCACAAAAGTGTTCATGAGATCCTCCATTGTCTTTTCGCGGCTTTCTTGATCCCACTCGGCACCTGTAGAAGAGTTAAATGTCTCAATCTTTGAATCTTTGGTAAGAAATTGCGGCAAAGGGGGTGGTTTCTTCCTAGCAGAGTGCTTTTTAGGAGACAGAATCTTATTCGGCGCAGCCTTGACTGGGGTAGTCGCGGCCGTGTTCGTCGAAGATAATGATCCAGCTGGCGCACCATGTGAAGGCAAAGGGGCAAAATCCGATTTGTCAATGGGGGAGGGTTTCAGGTCCAACTCTTCTAGGGAAGTGCACAATAAAGTCTCAGGACTGTTATTGGGCCACTTCCGCAAAGCACGATTGCTTGACGTATCGCATGGGGCGCAAAAATATGCAGCAGAACGAACAAAGCACGGGGTGGGCCTACCCTTTCGTTTACCAAGTACAGTAGCGGCGGAGTCCTCCTCATCATGAGTATCCAACGATGTCGCGGGGCGAGGGATGCCGTGGCCGTTCGGTCTTCGGGAGCTGGCAACGGAGTGTGAGCGAGACATACTGGTGTGTGGTCGAGCGGGGGGAACCCCGGAAATGGTTCCTTTCGATCGCGCGGATGTGGTGGCTGATCTGGTCAAGGTGGATGATGAGTGCGAATTAGCGCGAGTGTGGACTCTAGTGGTGCTGTTGACGCGCGACGATGCTGCTCCGGCTCCGGCTCTGCCAACCTCGGGTGCTTGCGTAGTACTTCTGGGACGAGATGGTTCTGTGACTGTCAGCTTCTGTTCGCTGCTCCGCTTCCACAGCTCCTGACACATACGCGACAGGCTCGTAGTCTTGCTGGTTACGGCGCCCGCAATGGTACCGGGTTGCAAAAGACCGGAGCGGGCATTTGTCGAGGCCGGATTCATCTCTCTTAGACCAGTGGGGATTCGTGAACGGGCGGACGATCTGGACTGCATCTGCCACTTTGTATCAGCAATCATCACTTGTCAAGTGCGATTGAAGGAAATCACCATATGGTCGTTCTCCATAGCTTCCACAGGCGGGCCAACTCGACCCCTGACAACTCGAGAATTTGTGCGTCAAGGGAAGTACAATGGAAAGAAAAGCGCGTGTTATTGAATCAGAGAAGCAAAGACAATCAAATCCAAATCAGGCTGCTACCTGTTAGGGGCAGGACTGCATCGCAAGTCGGGACGTCAGCGGGTCGTTTGGTGCAGGTCGAGGCAGCGCAGGTGAGTTAGTTTATCACGACGGTTCGATTGCCGGCCAGCTTTGGTGGGCGTTTCTGGAGTGACGGCGGGCGGTAAACAAACTTGGCTGACTCAGCCGGGCCCGGCGGGGTGCGCCATTGCCCCATCAGGCTAGAGGTAATGTCGGTCATGAATACAACAATACCGTTTCTTAATTTACTTGGTTTGTGACGAACTTGCACTGATAGATTAGGAGTAGAATATTGTTGGAGTAGACCGAGTTGTTTTTTTCAATTGTGACATTGCGCTTGCAACATCTCCATTATCACTTCTGGCACTTCTATATTTTGCCAGTGTCCCTTATCTTCCACTCCTCCTGCTGAGCCACACTTGTTCATCTCTGGCCCGCACGCGGGTGTGTCCACTTCCCACTTCCACTTCTCTCTCCCTGACTGGCTCCGTAACGGCGGCTGCTTTCAGACCGACAAGCTTTCCCCGTCCCCCCCCCCCATTCAAGGTCATTGAGACCCTTTTATCTCTCCCAATTGCCTCCATTTCTTTCATTGTTATTTGTTTTTGTGCCATTTCTTTCCCCCTGTGACCCTCTCAACTACCAGCATCATGTCTGGTCGATTCGTGCGTTCCTCGAAATACCGTGAGCTCCCTCTTCCCCTCCCCACAGGCTGCCCGCAATCTGACAGGTAGTAGGACACGTCTTCGGACGGCCGACGAGAAAGGTGCGCTACAAGCCCCTTGGACCCTTCACAGACTCGACATAATCTCACAGTCGTCGCAGGAGCAATGCTATGATAATCTTCGCGTTTCCAAGAACGCCTGGGATACCAACCTCGTCAAGGTTCGTCCGTTGTTGCCGCCGCCCCTAATCCACGACCTACCAGGTCCGTCTGACGCTACAACTAGGCCAACCCCAAATACCTCTCCGTGAACTGGGAAGCCGGTGGTGGAGGTGCATTTGCTGTCATTCCTCTGGAGGAGCGCGGGAAGCTGCCCGAGAGGATACCTCTTTTCCGGGGTCACACTGCCGTGGTCCTCGATACCGACTGGTGAGCAGTGGCTGTTGTGAACACCCTATCGTAGCACACGACCAACAGAACTAGGAACCCTTTCAACGATGATCTGATTGCATCTGGATCTGATGACGGCAAGGTATGATCCCTCATGAAATTCCCACACGCCACCGCAGCTGCTTTGTTCATTGTACTGATTGGTCGCATGATAGGTCTTCCTCTGGCGTGTGCCGGAGAACTTCACTCTGCGCCCTGATCTTGACCCCGATGAGATCCAAGATGTGGCACCTGTTGGCAAGCTTTCCGGTCACCCGAAGTGAGTGAAATCGTCATATTACTCGAATGCTTGTGCTTTGCGGACACAGTCTAACGCCCCCTCAGAAAGATAGGTCACGTTCTTTTCAACCCCGCCGCTGAAAACATCCTGGCAACGGCCTCCGGCGATTACACGGTCAAGATCTGGGATATCGAAGCGGGCGCCCCGAAGCTGACCCTGAACCTGGGCGACATTGTGCAATCACAGTCGTGGAGCGCCAACGGCTCCCTTCTGGTTACGACCTCGCGAGACAAGAAGCTGCGCATTTGGGATGTGCGTCAGGAACGCCCCGCGCATGAGACACAAGGACACTCTGGTGCCAAGAACAGTCGTTCAGTCTGGCTTGGTGAGCACGACAGGATCGCAACCACCGGTTTCTCCAAGATGAGTGACCGCCAGCTGGCTCTGTGGGATATCCGCGCTCCTCGGGAGCCCATCAACGGATTTAAGACCCTTGACTCGATCTCCGGTGTATGCATGCCTTTCTGGGACGAGGGCACTCAGTGTCTGTACCTTGCTGGAAGAGGGTAAGTCTAGAGAGATAACCAGGTATTGGCCGTGGCTAACAATGTCTAGTGACGGTAACATCCGCTACTTCGAACTCGAGAACGACAAGTTCGAATACCTTGCCGAATACAAGTCCGCCGATCCCCAGCGTGGTATCGCTTTCATGCCCAAGCGTGGAGTCAACACTCACGACAACGAAGTCGCTCGTGCCTTCAAGACCGTTAACGATGGCTACATTGAACCTATTTCTTTCATCGTGCCCCGCCGTGCGGAGACTTTCCAGGACGATATCTACCCCCCTACAACTGGCCTGAAGCCTGCTATGGGCCCCTCTGAGTGGCTTGCGGGCAAGGAGGCCATTCCACCTAAGATTTCTATGGCCAACCTTTACGAGGGTGAGGGTCTGAAGGAGGTCACCGGAGTGCAGGACGCCCCCACTTCCACCATGGGCGCCTCTGAACCCGAGGCGGCACCGGCTCCCAAGGCCGCCGAGCCCAGTCCCGTGAAGAAGGCACCCGAACCCGCCCCCGAGCCGACCCCGGTGGCCAAGCCCGCCCCGTCCATGAAGGAGCAGGGTGCCTCAATGGCCGCCATGGTCTCCAAGTTTGCCGACGATGAGGAGGTCGAGACCGTGGAGGAGGATTCGAGCTTTGAGGAGGTGCAGAAGCCCGTGGAGCGCCCTGCACGCTCTCCCGAAGCCTCATCTCCTTCCATCAAGGCCAGCCCATGGCACCAGAAGGAAGAGGAGGTCAAGACCCAGGCAGCAAGCCCTGCTAAGGTACGCAATCCCTATCCCCTAGCAAAATCCTTCTCCAATTAACAACCCTGCAGTCTTCCCCCGTCATCACCCCCGTTGCCGCGCCCGCCGACATCTCCACTGGCGCTGCCGTCGCAGCAGACGCCGTCCAGCGCGAGATCGGAGCGATCAAGGACCTGATCGCCGAGCAGACAAAGACGATCGCCTCCCAAGCGCAGCAGATGCAGAGCCTGACTGCAGAGATCGAGTCCCTCAAGGCTAAGCTGGGCTAAGCCTTTGATATTAGTTTCCAGAACTTTGGATCCTTTAATGTACTGTATTGAATTTCCTTAGTCGTTTGTGTTGTGCTGTCTACCATTATTATCCTTAACAACACACCCTAACACCCTATTATCGCTCCAAAAGCCCTGTCCCTCTTTCTGCCCTTCTATGTCCATAGCCCGTCATCGTTGTGTGTTATTATATTCTTGATGACCTGCAGCATGATCGCAATGTCAATGTCAATACGAATACCAGTGTCTCTCTGCCTCTCTCTCTCTCTTTTCTATGATGATTATGTTGTTGTCGATTCAGCGGTGGCAAGATTACTCGAGATTGAGGCGAAATTGGATAGAATGGAGGTTTTCTAAAGGCGGGTTGGTTAGTGTGGGTAGTTACTAGTAGTTAGTTGTAGACAAGAAATATACCACCACGGTCTGTCCGCTTCATGAGTATTCTGTTACAGCCCACTACTACTACTATACTAGTATTACTAACTCATAGAGAAGAAACAGATCAGGTTAAAAATTAGACATCTCACATTCTCCAGGCCTTCATTCCAGCAACAAACTAGGAGTAGTGAATAAAAATAGTATGTGAATCTTATCTACAACGCCGTCCATATGAAATAGCTGCAGCTGGGGGCGCCTGCAAGCACCATCTCTCTCAAATATACTAGATAGTAATATGAAATCAATCCACCGGCAACGACCACGAATGCACGCCATGCAATTTCTGGGACCCTTTTTTCTTTCTGTTCCCTCTTGGTTTGAGAATTTGTGACATGAGAATGTAAGAAGTGTTGGATGATGAGCGCTTGGATTAAAATGGAGAGTAATTTTTTCTTGGTGTTAGATTAGGAGGATATCCCGTAAGAATCTCTCTTTTCTATGCTTCTTTGGGTGATAGAGGTAGGGAGGATATAGGTACTTGTATGGAAGTACCTTGGGAGTGAGTGAGTCAGTGGTGGTATGGGGGTGGGATATAGAGGTGTTGTGTGATGCATGTGTGAGTAGTAGAAGGAAGGTGAACTGATCGGTCGTGGGAAATATATGAGGAGAAGTAGGAGAGCGATTACTTCCATCGACCTGCTTCACGCTCCTTCTCGACGCGCGCAGCTCGAGCGTCATCATTTTCTTCGTCCTCGTACTTGTAACTAAAGCGACGCCCACCTGCCATGGCGCGGCTGTCTCGCTTGCGAGAAGACTTTCCAGCATCACGGTCTGCATGCATGGCCTCACGACGTTGCTGTTCCTTCAGCATGCGCTCGCGGTTCCTGGCCTCTCGTTCCAGAGTATGGGGGTCTTTCTCTGGCTCTGCTGCTGCTGCTGCTGAAGGTTTGTCTTCATCACGGTCCCGCCTGGCGCGGCGGGACTGGCGGGAGGAGTATTCGCTGTTGACGGGGGATTCAGAACGGTCGCGGCGAGAGCGTTTACGGTCTCTGTCACGCTCCCTGTCGCGTTCTCGATGGCGGTCCCGGTCACGATCACGATCGCGGTCGCGCTCTCTCTCCCTATCTCTGTCGCGGTCGCGATCTCTTTCACGCTCTCGATAACGATCGCGATCGCGATCCCGATCCCGACGGCGGGAGTCTCTTTCTCGGTCTCGATCTCGATCTCTATCGCGGTCCTCGTCGCGACGGCTTGAGCGGTCCTTACCAGACCGGTAACTGCGGTCTACCGCATCACTGAGCTTGTTTCTAGAATCCTTGTCTTCGACCTTGGAAGAGAGATGACCGGGTCCGGCGGCGTCGCCGTTGCGACTCGGGCTGCGGCTCCAGCTACGGTGACGATGCGAACGATGCGACCGGCGACCGCTGCGTCTATCCCGCTCTCTGTCACGACGGTGAGTGGACCTTCTGGATTCTAGAGACGGGGAGCGGATACGAGGACCATCTTCTGCAGTGGATGGCTCTTCGTACTTGTCCTCCCGACGAGGCCTCCTTGGCCGATCTCGTCTACGCTCGGATTCTTCAGTACCACGGTTGACACTCGGAGAACGTTCACGATACCGGCGGCGACTATCGGCACGAGATGGAGGAGATCGGGACCTGGATCTTGATGCCGATCTAGCTCTCGACTTCGATCTTGGCACGGACTGTGGGCGCTGGTCCTCTTGTCCTGGGGTTGGGGTCACACTGAGAAGGAAACATCAATATTGGTTGGGCTTGCAATGGGTTGCATGTGGAACATTATTCTTACCTTTGTGAGGCTTCGGGCCTCATGGGAGTCGCCGAGGAACGTCCATGAAAGTTCCGCTGCCGGAGAATGCTGGTGTTGGGAAGACCTTCTCGCATGGCTCGGGGAGCTGCCGGTGCACCTTCAACACCCTGTCCGCGAGGCTCGGGATACATGTTAGAGCCTGTCATAAACGGAGGACCGTTAAAGCCACCAGGACGTGCGCCTGGGAAGGGACCGCGCATATAGCCACCTCTGCCAAAGCCAGGTCCCATAGGGCCAGACATGCCCATAGGGCCACCCGACATGCCTTGTGCGGCGTGGACTTGGTCTAGACTATCAATTGTCGGTATCCCACGCAGCTGATTCTCCTCCTGGCCTGGAAGCTCTTGTGTAGAGTCTCTATTGATGTTGGGATCAGATTCCCCGTTCTCACCCATGCTTTCGGCAGCAGCGGCAGCATCTCCCGCCGAAGCATCTTGAGCAGAAGTCACATCGCCACTTAGGGCATTCTCGCCGGCACCTTCCTTATTGGCTTCAGTACTGACCTCCCCGGACATGTCCCCAGATACGCCATCCTGACCATCACTAAGGGGATTATGGTTTGGGAAGTCTGGATAGTTAGCATTAGCAGGATGATTGGGTTGCATATGCCCTCCAAAACCACCGCGACCACCGGCAAATCCTCCGCGGCCACGGCCACGGAACGCGCCTCTGCCATGACCGGCATAAGAGCCATTTGGATAATCTTGGCTAGGAAACTGCTGCGGCTGCATTTGAGCATGAACTCCGTTGGGTTGAGACATATTATAACCGCCAAATCCAGAGGGGCCCCCAAACTGCGGACCCATACCATTTGCGAAAGCATTTGGATTGAATTTATCTTGGCCTCCATTCCACATATTGTTCTGTGAGCCGTCCCATCCCCCATACATCCCCTGACCCGCGTCGAAACTCATTCCCATGTTCATGCCATTCATGTTCATCCCGTAGCCTCCAAACATACCCTGATTCGCGGCCATCGGGTCCATCGCCATGCCAGGCATTCCTAGCGCGCACGTCAGTTCATCAATCCAATCTCGCCTCGGGGCAGGAGATGACGAGCGGAAACTCACCCATAGCGTTAGGGAAGTTGAACATTCCATTGTTCATAAACTGGGCCATAGGGTTGAAACCACCGTTGTTGTTCCAAGCCATATTAGGGAACATCCCGGCACCCATGCCGAAGCCCATACCATTTGGGAGCATGCTCCCCGCCGGACCTTGGGACGCTTCGTCATCGTTGACTTGGTCGGTCTTGGCTTCATCGGCTTCGTTGCCTTCACCAGATCCGTCGTGTTCCGCATCCCCAGCGTCGTTCTGCGTGTCAGCAGGGACACTTGTAGACTGGTCATCCTGCGCGAGTGGGAGATTAGCCTAGATGTAGGCGATTGATGTTGGGTGACATACTTGGGCCTGCGCCTCTGTAGGTGCTTCGTCGCCCACACCTGGTGTGTTCTGCACATTTAGGTCTCCGGCATCCGCGGGGTTGACTGTTTCTACCGGCGGAGCATCGACAGATTCACTAGGTGCAGGGATTTCTTCAGAGACTGGAACTTCGGCGGCGCTCGGCACCGCAGGTGTCTCCAGTTGAGCAGGAGTGCCGTCCGCGGTTGTTGCACCATTGGTGGTTGCGGGCGTCGCAGGGGTTGCTGACTGTCGCTCCTTCTCACGCTTCTTCTCTTCTGTACGCAGAAAGGCCTTCAATGTGGTGCGGAGCGCTTTGTTCGGCTTGCATAGATCGGGCGAGATGGGAGTATGCGCGCATACGGGGCAAGTCTCCGGGAGAGAAGCCTGGCCTGTAGGAACATTGGTTAGAATGGAATGGAAATATAACACGGAGTCGTCAACGGATGCGTACAATGTTCGCAGATCGCTTGGTCGCAGCAGGGTAAGCGAAAGGCGTTCACGGCAAGCTTATTGCACATGGCGCATCGCAGCTTGAACGGGATCTCATCTTGGGTGAGAGAGCTGTATTGGAAACGCGAATTAGTTCTCGGGTCAAAGACATGTATGACCGAAGAGCGCAAGGCTGGAATATGACCTACCTGGCGATGTCCATCAAGCCCGAAGGCTGATCTGCGACAGCCATCGGGGATGACGAGGCTAGACCGGAGGGAAAGGTAAGTCCAGAAGAAAGGTGTCAATGTGCAGAAAAGGGAATAGTAGGACAGCCACACTGGCAAAGACAAAGAACGCGATCTAATTCGCCATCAATAGGAGGTGGCAGCCATTCCTGCTGGCGTCGCTCGGAAATGCAAAGTCCGTGAATCGACAATCGGGGTGAATGTCGCGATGGACAATCTGTGCCTGTTTGACCAAATTTGGAGGCCGGAGGCGGGCCGGAGCGGAACAACCGCCTGTCCGAGGCTTTCCGGCGCATCGCCCCGCCCTTCTGCTCCTCTTCTCCAGCGCCTGCGTTCGGTTGTTTCCTGACTGGAAGGTGACATCGATCATCTGGTTTGCTGTTTGGTTGTCCGTTCCGTGACGCTGAAGTTGTTAGTGGATACCGCTGGCGCTTAAGAAGGATTGGGGATGTGGATGAGATCCTCTCTACGGAACAACTTGCTAACTATACCAACTACGGAAGTCCAGCCTCATCATCGTCCAGAACGTGCGGTTTCAAATGAGACTTTGTCATTTGCAGACCACTAAATAACTAAGGTTTGGGACCAGTCATAGGGATATTCAAGGCGGCACGGCACACCGCCAACTGCGGCGACTGGACCCCTGGTTGTCATCCATCATTCATCCCTGCTGCGCGCCACGAACTCGAGGCAGACGAGTTACCTTGCGACTACATTGTAGGATAGGATTCCAGATTCCAACCTGGGTTACGGAAGAATCAGCGCTAGACCGACTCTGGGAAAGAATGCATTCTCTAGCCCTATCTCTAAATTACCTACTAGGTAACTGTCAGAGAGAGGCAGATCTGCCTCTCATCTCCGACGGGCAAATCAAATGGACGCAAAGTACCGCCCAAGGGAAACCAGCGACGCGCTTTCAGATTAGATCAAGTTATTTACTCCCTCACCGAAGGGGTACTGCCATCAGATAGCAATAGCACAGAGAGATCCGACGGCGGCGATACCTTTGGTGGGTCTCTGCGCGCCAAATCGTCCTTCTCCCCCGATCTCTGGAGCTCTGTTTATCATCATCACGCGTCTTGGTGGGGGGATATCAACCAGAGGGATAGATAATATGATGAAAGGGGAAAGGAACAAAGACACGGAACAAGGAACACAAGATAGGTGATGACATGACTATCAGAGACATAGTCACTAGCTCCCGCATTAGAGAGCTACTATCTACAGGGTCAGGGGGACACCAACACCCCGACTGAGCAACAAATGATACATGGGAGAAGCAGTAGTATACGATCTGTGGCTTTGCATCATTGACGCAGACTCGACGGGTGGAATCACGCGCGGCAAAAGCCAAAAGCAGAGGGGGGCCAATCAGGGAACGAACCATTTAACCAGTGCCTCCGGGCGGGGTGGCGACGAGAGGAGTGGTTCGTTCGCAGCTGAGTTGACACCCCGAAACATGAGTAGTGAGACTCATCCACGGCCTCACGATGAGGCAGCAGCGCGTCACCGGAGTGATGGACATGAGAGTCGGGATGAAATGGGGGAAGATGCCATATTCTGGGATCAGTCAGTTAGAAGGGCTGGGGTTTCATGACGGATGATGCCGAATAACAAGAACGAAGAGAAGGAAGATGGCGTAGTGATCATAATGATGGAGGATGGTTAATTAAAGAGAAGGATTTGGGGGGGGATGTTGTAGAGGAAGGAAGGATGAGTGACTGGAAGGTACCACCCGTCAGGTTAGAGTCAAGCAGTTTCCGTCCGACCCAGAAAAAGTAAAAATGGGGAAAAAAAGAAAAATCGGAGAGGGAGCCTGAGGAACAGTATTTTTAGCGCGAGCAGTGGAACAGGCAGGCCAGGGTTAAAAGGGCCGCTGCTGCTGCTCCCCCGGAAGAAAGGGCGCCGGTCCTCTTCGTCTCCTCTCTGGATGCTGGGGCCACCCACGCCACGCCTTTCGTACACGCACTTTTTGCTCTCGACCAAAAAAAACTTATTCAAAAATTACACCAAATTCGCTCTTAAGAAGCTCGGACCACCCGTGCCGCGCGATCGGCACAAACAAGAAAAACATCCCCAAACAAATCGGTTTCACGACCACGAGTATCTTCTTCATCGCGGAAAGTGTTTGTGGGATTGAAAATCGTTTACATTTTCGATCCCGGGCAGAAATTCCTCCAGATCCTGTATTCCAGTGGTGTGTTATGCCGGCCACGGTATCAGCCTGGTAGATTTAAATCCCTCCATTCCCCAATCTGTTGTTGTCACTCCAACTTTGGCGGCCAAGGTACGAAAAAGACGTTCCCCATATTTATTCCATACTAGGCCGTTTTCCTGTTAGGCGCGCACGCGCATCGCCCATAACGCCTGGATCTCTGCTTTAAGAAAAAAAAAAAAAGAAAGAAAAAGAAAAAATATTATAAATTGAAAAAAGAAAAAAGAAAAAAACAAGAAAAAAAAAAATCCCCACAGCAATGACAGACCAAGACCAATCCTATCGTCCACGATCCCCTGATTTTTCCACCTTCCAGTCAGTTCCCCTCTCACCTACCTTCAACAACCACAACCTCAACCACAACACGCACTATCAACTTCCTCACCACTCCCCCGTTTACCAATTCGGGAATCCTTTCGTCCATCGCGCTTCCTACGACGCCTCACCGTTCTTCACCCCGCAATATCAACCACCACCTCTACCACAACAACCATCGCTTCCTCACCACCCGGTCCCGCAGACCAGGGTTCCCCAGCAATCCTCCTCATACTTCCCTCCCGATCCGGACATGGCTCGTCGCTCGTCGCGTATCGCCCAAGCGGCCGAGGTCGCGCCTCACCCGCCCGTCTCCAAGTACGTCGACCCTGTCGACGAAGAAGAGGAATTCGTACCTTCACCTCCACCTCAACCGCAACCGGAACCACAAGAGGAGCCCGTCGCTGTAATTGAAGAAGAAGAGCCTCCGAAGCCCGCTCCTGTACCCGTCAATGTGGAAGTGAAGACCAAGTTTCCTGTCGCGCGCATAAAGCGCATTATGCAAGCCGATGAAGATGTCGGTAAAGTCGCTCAAGTCACTCCCATCGCAGTGTGTAAGTTGCCACCCTCATCTCCGAAGCAATCATTGCCGTATATTCAAGGAAGATCACCGCTAATCAAAATTAAACTATAGCCAAAGCACTCGAACTCTTCATGATCTCCCTCGTCACCAAAGCCGCACGCGAAGCCAAAGACCGCAACTCGAAACGCGTCACAGCCTCGCATCTCAAACAAGCCGTCGTGAAAGACGAAGTGCTCGACTTCCTCGCTGACATCATCGCCAAGGTTCCTGATCAACCGGCCAGTCGCAAACACGACGACGATAACAGTGATCAAAATGAACAACAACCGAAACGAAAGCGCGGTGGACGTCGTCCGAAAGAAGAAAGTGATTGATTAATGTCCACTACGAGTCTTTTTCTCAATTCGCGCGTCTTATTTGAAACGAACTGGCTTGAATGTCAGCTGGCATGCATTATGTGGTTTGAGGGACTTTCTATTTCCTTGCGCGATGGGCAGCCATTCGATTCGATTCGATATCGATATTGATGGTTCAACTTTTTTTTTTTCCTTTTTTACTATTATCCTTTAGACTGGGTGGATAAGAGCGGGCGCATACTTGACTTGACTTACTATCATACTCTTGCTACTACTTCTGCTACCACCGTTTCTCTCTCTATCTATATATGGCGTTTGTGGTAACGGGGGCATGATCAGGTTGGTTGGATGGTTGGTTGGGCTTGCATCGCGTGATGTGAATACTACTATTTGCTTATTTTCTCGATTCTTTACCTTCTACCATCCCATTGGGTATCTGATTTCTCTAATTTCTTGCTTGGTTTCTTACTCGCTTGCTTGTCTTTACTACGCGAGGAGTGACAAGCAGTCTGTACTGTATGTGTGTATCGATAATGACTAGAAAGGGAGCCGGGAAGGCAAGGGGGGAAGCCAACTTACCTTGCTTGTTTTGTGTTGCATGGACTTTGCTGCGCGTGTACCTATACTATCTACTGAGTATACTCCGCCGAATGTATGATCTACGCGTAACGAGACGCGTAATTACGAGTGATGAAGTAAACAACATATGATCCGGCTTAGTTAAAAGTGTAGCATGGTTAACTATCTTTCCTTACGCATATTCCTATCCATATATCAAATACAGGACGATTCCAGGCATAACTGAGTGAGATCTTTTCTTTCTTACTACAAGTGCCCCAATTGATGTCACATGACACTGCATGCATTGGGATTGTCCATTTATCTCAGTCACGTGTCTACATAAACGATCAGGTTCGATCTGACTCTGTCATATCTCTATAAGGAAGGACTCGAGTAGGAGGTAGGTAGTAGTAGTCTGATTGTGTGGTTATTGTGATGGGCTAACCACTGGCAAATCGGTGATAACAACTGTAGCTAATGACGTAGTAGATAGTTGTGTCAGTATATATTTCGATTCCATCTCCATGCTATCATCTTACTACTGTTAGTAGCCCCAGAAAAAACAAGCCTACTTACTAATAGTAAGTACTATTTGGGGTTAAATTAGTGTTTATATGGTTATTATTATGTTATATGTATATTATTAGTTTACAGTAGTATCCATGAGTCGATTACTGATTGTATATTATTGTTCCTGAATGTCTATCACTATACAGCAACTGTACCGCAACGGGTGTTACTACTACTACCCTGTCAAGAGGACTTTATGAGTGCTCCACGGAGTTGTAAGAAAATCTGTTGCGACGATCACTTCTACGGTTGACTTCTAATTGGCAAGAGTGTTCATTACTCCAGGCTGTCATCATAGATGTCGACTGGTACTTAGTATAGTAAGGTATTAGACTGCCTAATGAACCAAACTTTCCCGGGCACTTAGGCAGCCATTAGTAGCTACTACGTACACTGTGATAACTACATCAGTCTGTATTATTTCAGACACGATATACTACCAGAAATAAAACAAGATATAATGATGTATATATATTCCATCCATACAATCAGCCAGTCACCCATAATCGCAGGTCCCGCCCACGACTTTACTAAACATCCCTATCAATACAAACAGTAATTGACTACGCCTCAACCGTAGCAGTATCTACAGGACCATCTATTCCAGGGTATCCCGCTTCACCAAACAATGTTCCCCGCGCCTGCACGACAGCCGACGTTTCTAACAAGAACTCATAGAGAATGACTACGTTGGTCAGGACATGCCCCAGAGTCGCGGTGCGGGGTTCTTCGTCGACGACTGCAGTGTCGCCCGCGTCGTCGTTTGCTTCATCAGTTGCTTCCTCCGCAGTGGTATTGTTGTTGGCATCGTGAGGCGCATCGTCCACTGGGAATGGCTGTTCCAGTCGCTGGCGGAGGTCTTCAGCGGCGGATCTGCGCGCCGTGGAGACATCGCGGGGCGGTCGGAAGGGGAGGTCGCGGGTGGGAGAGCCGATGGCGTCGCGACTGGGAGAGGAGGTGGCAGTGCTGGAGAACTCGAGGGGTCGACTTGACCGACCGCGAGGGGACCCATAGTCCGAGTCGAGGTTGGATGTTGGGTGTCGGGAGGAGGAGCGGGTAGGAGGTGCGGAGTTGCGCTGAGAACGCCCGGACGCTTTGGCGGGCTCGTCGTCCTGGTGTAGGAGATCGCGACGCGCGGCGACGAGGATGTCAAAGTCCGGCATGTCCTTGCGCCATTTCTGGATCTTCTGCACGAGCTTCTGAAGTACCGAAGTGAGGGCTGGAGTGTCGGTGTGGGACCAGGAGGGCTCTTCGTAGGCTCGCTGGATCTGATCAATAAGGGTCGTCGAAGGGGTTTCGTCTGAAGATTTGTTCGTTGATGTGTTGTAGATGTACTTGGAAGGGTCCACGAGAAGCCAGCCGTCAAGAGCAATCAGGTGCGAAGAGGCGATGCTCCCGAGGACTTCGGTCAATGCCAGGTTCACGATAACACTGTTCGTGAAAAAGTTCTCCAGGCAATTGAGCAGCTCGCGCACAATGGGGTCATCGTGCCGTAGCTCGAGTGGCAGGCTCTCTCCCGGGTAATCCTCGGCCGGGGGAATGCACAGCCGGGCCTCGAGAATTGCCATCCCGTCCTTAAGGTAGTTGTCATAAGATTCATTCAACGTAGGGTCATCAACGGTAGATGTGGCCATGTTCATAAGCTGTTCCAGCTCGACGTTCAACGCCCCGACAGTCCGTTGTTTGGCATGCTGGCCAGGAACGGTGCGGATTAATGATCGTGCAAAGGTATGGTGCCGTTGCAGGACGGTGCTCATTACCCGCAATGTCGCCAGAACAGTCTGTCTATTTGTCGACTGAAGTCCAAGGAGGGCAAGATCTCTCAGGTTGAAAAGCGACGGCGAGGGCCGCGCAGCTTCTTCGGAGAAAGCGGCCAAGACATCTAGCGACTTGCGTCGGCTGGCAGACATACCTATGTTCTTTCCGACTGCCGCAGGCTCCGAGTCAGAGGGAGACGCAAGCAGGAAATGAAGAATCCGGTGGACCAAGTCCTCCTGGTGTACAGACTCGAGAATGCGATACAGGTAGGTAAGCACAGCAGCCGTTGAACCCCCTTGCACATCGGAAGACTCAAGTAAAGACGGGTACCTGCATGCGTTATAGTGAGCAAGCGGCATTCCAGCAACAATACAACCGAACCTACAAGAGTTGTTCCAGGAAGAGGATCTGGAAATGATCCAACAAAGTCCCGTTAACCTCCGCCGACTTGCAATGATCAATAGTATCCTGCCAGAACAACAGATACGACATGAACGAATCCATCGACATGCCCAGCACTGGCGGAAGAGCAGTGTCTTGCTGCGCGTGATCTGACAGCGCAATGATATGAGGGATATTCTCGTCCGTATTCTCCGGGAAGGTCAAGCTTTTGCAACAGATATCAGCCACTGGTCCTCATCATCACCGCGAAGAACCATAATAGAACTCACCTGCCCAATTGACTATACAGCGCACCCAATCCAGTAGCCATAAGCGTAGCAAGATCACTCTCAATCAGCCACCTCTCAAGGTTCTTCGACCTGGAAGCTGTCTCGATCAAATAAAGCAACCCCGTACGAGCAAAATCACCCGCCCTACCAGCATGATGCACATACTCTACGAGTAGGTAGAACAACGGAAAATCATCCTTCCTCATTGCACCCGCAAATTCAGCCCCAGTGTTATTACCATTGCCCTGTTCGCGTTCCTGTTCATCAGACCGCGGGGCGAACCACGCAGGAAGAATATTCGGCTGTAGACGAATATTGTTAGCCACGCCGAACAGTAGCTCAACGAGTCGTCCCTCAACATCCTCCGAGTGTTTATCCGCACGTCGCACTAAATCCACCAGTGCGCGGGCAAAGAGTCGATTATCGACAATACCATCGACCTCCGAATCGATGAGGGTGTTGAAGAACACGGTCGCGGATCGGAGCATGCCATCGTCGTAGGAAGACAAGGCGAGCTTAGTGACCGTGACGAAGATCTGCGAAGAGGAGGCATATGCGAGGCATGGATGTGGAGCTGGGCCGCGGGATTCGTCGCTCAGCACGGAGATGAGGCGATCAATGCAATTACGCGCGTGAACGGTTGCGGATTGCTCTCCGGTGGAGGAGTTATTGGAGCGCCATATTTGCTAGGTTTGATGAGCAGGAAAGATCACGAGGGGATAGCTAGGAGGAGAAAGAAGGGCCGACGCACCTGAAGGGTATTGCATGTCCGCTTGAAGGACGCCAATCGCTCCGTGGGAGTGGACGCCCGGAAGCCTTTAGTAGACAGCGAGCGGGAGCCCCCGATGAGACGAGACCACTGGAGGAATTAGCTGAGGGACGGCGACAAGGGAAAGGACGGGAGGAGTCGTACAAAGTCCATTGTTCTGTAGGAACAGCATATTACTCCGGAACTGGAGCCGACCCAAGTGGAGTAGAGAGTCCGCGGGGAGGTCGAAGCTGAAGATTAATCTCAAGGCCGGCGATGCAATTGCTCGCCCGCGCAAAAAGGGGTTAGTGCCGCCTGCCAAATCAGGCCTAGTTGTGATGCCTTATCAGTTTACCCCTTTTGGGTTAGATTCCTGGGACACTACTTAAAATACCTCCATAACATTTCCTATTCTAGAAGCAACTATAACTACTACAACAATCATGAACCACTATCACAACCCATCTAATCATGAGCACCAACTGCAGTTGCATCCAACATCCAACCGGTATATAAATCCTTGATACAGATGTCTATACTCAATACCCCTCGTTAGCTAGTGGCACCCTTCCCGCCCCATTTCCCACCGCCAATCCCTCGATATACTTCGTCAGAGTATCATCCAAAACACCCCCAACGAGATACTTGGACAGAACGTGGCCGGCCATTTGACCATGTGAAATAAACCCACATCTAACCACATCTTCTAAGAGCTCAGTGGTCGTGTGTTCTTTGATGGCCCGCTTAATACGTCCTGTTTACACACGTCACAAGGCATAGTCAGCATCTATAAACGGAGCAGATGGATATGTGCGAATTTCAAAAGATCAAGGCCCACATACGTCTCAGCGCCCGATGGTAGGGCTTGTTGATTTCGATGACCCATTCCTGAATGGAGGAGACTGGATATCGGTTTTTGAGACCCACTTCGTAGCCCAAGCTGCGTACTTTGTACAATGTCGTGTTTTCAAACTCTAGACGGTCCAGACGGTTTTTATTCTCCGTGGGTTGGTTTGTGGCTGAGCTCAGTTAGACCAGACTTGCTCTCGTGCAGCTGTGAAGCACTAAACAGAACATGCCTTGTTTGCTCTCCAACGGAGAAGACGAGCCCGGCGTCTGGGGACCGAGTTCGACCACCTCAGTCTTAATTTCTCTCAGCTTGCCTTCCTGACTTGGATAACCTGACGAAGGAGTTTCTGGAGCAGCAGAAATATAGAGAGACTCTTTGCTAGCATTCTCGAGATCTCCCTCGACAATCTTCTCTCCAGCTTCCGCATGTGCTTCGTCGCTTTGCTGATGGAGCTTTTCAAGGTCGTATCTTTCCTCTATGAACAAGTTAACGGCCACTAATCAGTTTAATGGCAAGGTTCACCATGTCATACTGTAGACAATGATTCCCTTCTCGAAGCGTGCGTTGGCCGAGTAGGAGAAAAGGAAGAACACATCCACGAACCCGATGAGGCGGATCTTTCCTGGCCATTGTTCACCGTTGATTTTGATCTCCCAAGGATGAATATCGCTAGTAAACTGGTTACTTGAGCTACCCTGATGTCAAGCAGAAGGGTCGACATACCAATCGCACTCCAGCGTTTTGTCCTTGACGGACTTGCCGAAGACGCCCAGAACTCGGTGATAGGAGGCCATGGTGAGCTTACAGTTTGGTGATATGGGATTACCTAGGGAGGCGCGCAGAGATCATTGTTATTTGGTTTGCAACTTCCCCCTTTCCAGAAGGTGCTAACTGCACAATCGATGCTTGGTCCGAAATTCGCCGTCAACCTCCAACTGGAGGGGCAACGGAATGGAGGTGGCAATCTTGCGGGTGAGGGTTGCAGGAGATAGAAGCTTTCCCGTGACATTTAGCAGCGAACTATTGGCTCTCGGACTGCCAACAACCGGCTGGATGCCGCTAGGAAGGGAATTGCGACACGAACATGCATACGATGGACGCGTAGTACCAGTCTGCACCCACATTGACAGACGAATCTTCGTGGGCAACATCTCCTCGGGGACCTGCCACCGGGGACATGTAGTCCAGCTGAGGCGTACCGCTAATGCACCCGGGTCTGGTTCGGGAGAGGTATCAACTTTTACGGCGCTAAATGCAACACGGCGCTAGCTTACTGGCTGTCAATGTGTCGGATTCTCGGATCAAACATGACATGTTCGGTAGATCGCCGATCGAAGATGAGGGCTAGGCTACGGGCCTTCGGATATCTCCGCCAGTCGACCTGCAAGTGGCAGATAGCACGATGCGGAGATGGAGGTGCGGTTGCATGGCCTACAGCTTCGATGAGCTTTTCTTTGTGAATATAACGTGGCAAGATGACTACGGTCTTTCTTGACCCATCATCAGAAAGTGGCTTTTGGACTGCCACACCTACTTCCCACATTTCTCGTGAATTTCTGCCATCCATCGTCAGCCGCCCCCTTCGCTAAATATCAGCAAGATGTTCAAGAACAAGCATAAGTTCGAACTACCGTCGTTGGGACGCGGACGTTCATCGGACAAGGAGCTCTCTGTATCTATCTTGCCTGCTGCCGACGATAACTCCGTCGTCGAATCTCCAACAGTAGGCCAAGTCACTTCAGCAAATGAAATGCTGGGTAGTCTACGGAATCCACCAACCGACACGAGCAACGTTAGCAACGACAATGAACCAAAAGACTCGCCGGCCAACAAATCGAACGGCTCTACATCGGAAGCAGAAAAGGTCATCACCAGAGATGAAGTCCTAGGCAGCATACGCGATGCCGCCATGAAGTCGAGCCTCGTTATGGGCGCCAAGGAACTGAGAGAATCCGCAAACAGTGAAATAGCCAAGGTCAAAGGCATCGTGTCAAAAGACAATAGCTCCAACGACGAAAAGCTAAGAGGTCTTCTTCATCTTATCCTGAGGTCTAGCACAGAACCTAGACTGTACAACGACTACTTGGACAAGTCGATGGACGAAGACTCCGACATCTTGATCAGCTCATTTGGTGGACAAGTAGATGACATCTCAGTCCCCCTCCGCATGTTTGACTTGGATACCATGAACTTGGTTGATACGGGTTTCTTTGGAGAGGAAGATCAGTACTGCATGCTATCCCATAGTTGGAAAGGTGCAGAAATTGACTATGCGCTTGTGTGCGAAGCCCAACGTGCTGAGGAGGCACCGGGAGGGCTGACTGGGTACAACGATGTGGATGCGGTTCTCGCCCTCTGCGACCAGAAGATCAATACAATCGCAGGAAAATTGCACAAGTTGTTACAGGAGAGACCAGATGCAGGAACATCAATCCGGCAACTGCTCGTGACGTCTCTTAGGGTATCCATGCTGGAAAGAGATGTGGTTGATACCAAGCAAACGCGGACTGTTGAGAATGCAAACAAGAGACAGGCAGATCTGGAGCAAACTAACTACCAGAAATTGTTAGACGTCCTGAAAGAAGTTAAGAGTCTACCAAGCCTAGCGAAGCAACAAGAAGATGCAGAGAAGAGGGCCAAGAATGCAGCAGAAAAGTACTCCAGCGCTGAGCATGATTACGCATCAGAGAAAAACAGAATCTCGAAATATCGATCGAACCGCCAATTGTCTTATGAGATGGACGATCTGGTAAGGGCCTTGCAGCATAGGAGGTCGGCACGGAAGCTTCAAAAGTCTATCAGCCGTGCGCGAGATATTTTCCAGAACAGACCCTTCTCCGAGACAGGTAGACGATACATCTGGCTGGATAACTGCTGTATCAACAAGCGACAGGACGCTGAATTGAGTGAGTCTTTAGCACGCATGGGGGAATGGTACGCAAACGCAGACTTTTGCCTGGTTCACCTGGATACTCCGTGGGACAACCGGGAATGGTTGGATGAATGGGATCTGTGGTGCAAAAGCAAATGCAATAATGAAGAGGAGGAACCGGATCACACCGAGGATAGCGACGTGGTCAGTGCAGCTATGAAGACAACTCCTAGATGCCAGCCTGTTTCGCGCTTTAGCGAAGTCAAAGAGTGGAAGCCAACATGGGCTACCAGAGGCTGGACACTGCAGGAATTGGTCCTCAGCAAAATGACGTTCTATGCCAATGCAGACTGGAAGATGCTATCGCGACCGGTTGACAGTTTAGGAAACTACTATCACTTTTGCCCTTTCATTGAATTTTACACCAAGAATCTCAATTACATCGATGGCGAGGCACTGAAACTTGTCGACCATGTACTGGAAGTGATAACAGCCGCAGAGGAAAATGGGACGATTGAAAATACAAAGATCAATTTAGTCGCACCGGGTGAGGCTGAAGAGGTAAGTTAAGCATCCGGTGTGAAATACTATTGTCTGACTGCGATATAGACTATTGGCGCAGAGAGCATAATCCGGGCTCTGAGGCTATTTGGATATGTCGCGCCCAAGAACTTGGATAAGCAAACAGCGAGAGCCCGTGTCGGCTACTCTGTCCAACTCGTCGTTGAAGCATTCAAGGACAAGCCAAGCTACACAGACCCGGAACATGACATTAGAGAACAGATCTTGGAAGATATATCTGAGCACTATAATGGGCTTGAACGGGAGAAGGCAGTGAGGCGAACAATAAGCCTGCTGCTTGTAGCCCTCGCACACAAGGCAACCAAATCCATCAGGATTGATCGTAAAACAATCGCCGAGTTCAGCAACGTCGAAGGCCTGAGCAGCTGGTGGGATGGCACGGAGAGGAGCCGTTTCTCTGCTCACAGTGTCATGATGCTGGCATCGCATCGACAGTGCACTAAGGCTATTGATAAGGCGTACTCGTTGATGGGTGTCCTTGGAGTGCAGTTCCCAGCGTTCCCAGCCGAGGGCCTTACCAAGGCCCTGTCTCGGCTAATGGATGAGGTGGTGGTTACCTCCAACGATGTTTCTGTCTTCAACTGGACTGGCAAGTACAATGGTAGCCCCATACGCGGCCGGTCTTTGTACGCATCGAACATTGACGCCTTCTACACCGAATCACGTCTCGATGTGAATGGTGAACTCGTCCGAATTTTCCGAAATGATCGCACCAAAACCCTGACTATCGCAAAAGGTATCACTGACATGCTGCTCGATGCCAGCAACTTCGTCTCAACATTCAAGCAGACCGAAGAAACGGTCAGTTTGCTTCTAGATATGGTCAAGTTCATCAGGGAAAATGATAGCCAAAAACTGGAAAGTCTTCTAGGTTTCCCAGAGCTTGTCAAGACACTGGCAAATGCTGGCGATTATGCACGGAAAACAAGGTCGGAAGAAGACGCGAAAGGGGACGAGAATGTGCAAAAGCCCGACACGCCCGTGACTCCCCAGACCCCCCAAACACCTGGAACTCCGGGGATCGGAAGGAAGAAGTCATGGGGAGTTAAGCTACCGAATCTTCACAAGGGGAATCCTTTCACGGGGGATAAAGCAGCTGAGAAAGAGAAATCAGCAGAAAACGCCAAGAAGGCAGAACAATTCGAAGCTGAGATCAAGCGTGTTGTTGACGGGGCCCTGAAAAGCGACCCAGCGCGCAAAGACAAGGAAACTTTTGTTGAAAACGATAACTCCCCAGGCGAAAGCAATGAATCTGGAGTACAGGCCATTAGGATCAGCAAGTGTGACGAGCAGATCATCTGCCCGAACCCCATAGTCGTGAACAGCTCTGGAATCAAGGGCGTGTTTGACATTCAGCGCATTGTGGTCAATATGCTGCAGCCTGAAGAGCTTCGTGCGAAAGTCAAAAATGCCGCAAGTGACAAAGAGATGATTGATGGGTGGTGTACTATAAGTACTGGGTTTACTCTCACAATGGTAGCATTCTGCTGTGAGCGAAAGGTCCTTGAAAGGCAACTAGACTTGGTCGAAGTGGTCGAGCAAACCATCCTCAAAGAAGCCGCTCCAGCCAACACGAATACGCCCGCACAGGGGGTTAACACTGATGATGCACAGTCAACGAACCCAGAGAGCCAGCAAAACAAACAAACCAATGGTGAAGGTCCAGCACCGGATTCAGCTTCTTCCCAAGAAACAGACAACGTCGACCGTGACAGTCGGCCCAAGCTCAAGAACTACGGCTCTTCAGCAGAGCAGAGACGAGTTTCTCGCATGATCGACTTCGTCACAGAACCCAACCTCCACGCCATAGCTGGAGAATGGGTTCTGGCACGGTTCTCCGGCACGCCAGGAGCGCAATGGTTCCTTTGTCGATTGGAACTAGGAACAGGCATTGAATTCTACGCCCGCCGAATCGCCACGGACAAGTTCAATTTCTCCAATGCCGTTCCCGAGAAAGGTTTGGTCGAGTTTTGGCACAACTTCATGCACAAGAAGAAGCTAGTGATGTGCGATATGCTTGAACATTACCTCGATGCGCAGAAGGCAGGGACGTACGCAACATGGTTCCACGAAAACCTCAAGGAGAGCTTCTCCTGGGGTGACTCTAGTGACGACGAAGATGAGCCTCAGCAGAGCAAACAAGCGAAGGCAAAACAGCCAGCTCCAGATGGTAGTACCACCTTGACATCAACCGCCAAGACATTGAAGATGATTGGCTGGGGGATCCGATTCTTCTACGACAAATACTATGCTGAATACTTGGAAGATCGTCTTACTGAGATGGCCTTGGCCAAGATACCGGTGAATCTCCACGCCGCGATCAAGGACCTGCATGCGGACAAGGTCCTTCTGCCGGTGATGTTTCACTCTGGGAGGGACGTGCATTTCTTCTAGATAAGGATTGACAAGTGCTGGTTTCATTGAGAATAGCAGGTTGGATGTAGTGTGGCTCCGCCAAAATATTGATATTTATCTACTTATGGGCAACTGCCTATCTGCAAGCCGTAGTTGACGGCAAATTACCATGTCCAATATGACTTCTTCCACAACTTCACAAATTCCAACTTTTGCGGCGCCGTCACGGCTACACGTCTGGCCCTGCCAAGGCGAGCCAGCGAATCCCCTACATAGTTCGGCACCTGCTCTTCGAGCACCATCACGGAGGTCTCGCTAAAAGGCCGTTCATCGTCTCGGTCATGAGAGTATCCATTCTCCGAAGCACTAGGATCAAACATGGTAGCGTCATGCGTTGGCAGTTCATCCGCAGCGACACCCACGACTGCCTGCCCAATGCGGACCTTAATGTAATGCGTCGGTCGACCCAGCAGACTCCAAAGGAAAGTAATATAAGACCCGGGGACCGGAGTCACCACGTCTTTAGGCTCATAGCGCAGAGCCACAGGGAAGATCTTCGTCTTGTGAGGAGCGCTCGCCAGCACGGGGCTCAGCGGCAACACGCCCTGTCCGTTGGTGGTCGTGCACTCAGGGAACAAGGCAATAGGGCGGCCGGGGTACTTCCGCATGATGGTTTTTAGATCAACGGTACGGGCTTTAGGCTGGGGTTCTGCTTGCGGGAGAGCGAAGGCGCGAAGAATTGCTTGCCAGACGGATAG